TCATCCACTTGACTGCTTTTGATCTGAAAACAGTAGACTCTTACTGATCTACTATGGTACCAAATCCTCCTCAGAAATGTAGCATGTAATGGAAGGGTGGCACTAGGAAGAAAGATATATTCTTCCATGCAGTAGAATTTTAGTGCTTTTTTTCAAACGTGGCTGGTGAAGAAACTAGCCTCTTATTCTTACACAGTGGGTCTTTTTCCTTGGAATAACTGATCTTAAGGCAACATTTCTAGTAATTGGGACTCAGGTCTCACTTTGTATTTTGTGTACAGCTGGCACCACTTGGATTTTTTTCCTCTTTCATACTTTATCTGTTTTTCATAACTTGAAGAGCCCAGTTTCTGTTTACCAGGGAAGATAAAGACACAACTGCACTACAGGCCACGGAATCACGTACTACATGCAGCAGACAACATTGAAGAGGGACTAAGACTTCTTGCTGCTCTTTAGTTCCTCCCAGCAAAAGTATCCAGTGAAACAGTATTTCACAGTGCATCACTGTATATCCATTCCCAGGCTATGGACCATACCCCCTCTTTAACCAACACTGGCACTTCTAACAGCACTCATTATCTCTTTAGTTTGTTCATTTGTTTAAACTGCTCGCTGTCATTCAAAAAATGGTAACATAACATCCACTTTACTGACGCAGGTTTCCCAGGATGTTGTTCTCCTTTATCACATAAAGCTGCAGAACGCCCACAACAGGCATAAAACTACCAGCATAAAAGAACACCATAAATAAATCCCAGCTCCACAGTTTTCCTTTACAAAAGAAACAAACCCCTTACACCAAGCGAACTTTAGAAGATCACCCTCTGCTGTCTCTAGAGCAGAAACACTCTTAAACTAGTGCAGTTAAGGAGTGGTAGCTGAATCAACTGCCACAAAAATCTAGCAACAGTTCTGGATAGAAAATTACCAGCAGAACTGTTTTCCCTTTTTCGAAACAACTTCGATTCAGAGATCTTAAGTAGTGATGAAATCGTAAGCTAAAGCCATTCCAAGTGTTTATGTTTACACTGCAGGATGAGCAAAACAAGGTCTCTTACAAAACAGAAAAGAGAAGCACATTCTCCACAGCCCTTTGTTGCTCTGTTCCTTGTGGATACAGGGAAAGTCTCCAAAGAACAATAGAAAACTAAAGGAGAAGGGCACAAAAGCAGTGAGTCTTGTTCCCAGGACACATTAACAAGGGAGGGTCATCATTCTGTAAACAGCATTTTGCAAGTAAATATATTGAGAGCAAGGAAGGAAAAAAGCAATTGCAGCAGTTTTGTTGTAACAGCTGGAACAGATGCTTCATGTCATTCATCCACCAAGAGACATCTGTGTGTGTAAATCCTGACTATCCCAGTGAGTTCTGCCAAGTGCAAGCTTCTGCCCAAGTAAAGAAAGCAAAAGACTTGTAGTTACCTGAATCCTGTGAGCAGCTGAAACCTGTGTCTCCTGTACTGCTGCTGTTTCCTAATGGCCGTCCACCTGCCATGAGGGCAGTAAGATGAGGAGACAGTCCCAAATCTGCAAGAAAGTTTTGTTCTTGTGAATGTTTCAGGGGTTTGCAATAGTAAAAGCCTCTTCCAGTAATACTCACTCTACTGCTTTATTTATTACTCTGCTTATAAAACTTACCTTGCTGATTCGAAGTGCACAGCTTCTGGACTTCCCATCTTAGAAATCTCAGCAGCAGCTCTCAGGTATTGTTGGAGTCTTTCCTTAGGGAAAGTCTCCTTTCTACCTGCACCATCTCCCTCCCACTCTTGTTTCAACTACATGTATTTTATGAGCCAGACAGGCTGAGCAGCAAGTGTATACACTCACAGGGATGAGGATATTTGTCAGGCACCTTCTAGACAGAGAATAACATGGCAGCCACCAGCAGCTGTTACAAGCCAGTAGTGAGTAACGAAGTTTATGAGCAAGGCTAAAGCACAGACACACCTGACTTCTTTCAAATCTTCAAAGCAAGAAGGGAAGAGATCCTAGGTTTTTAACAACGGTGCCTTTGAATCTCACTTCAAGATTTTGTTTTGGGTTCGGTGGGGCTCTTTTTTCCTTTCCTGTCAGCCTACAGCTAATACACCTGATAAACTTCAAACTGTCAGCTTCTTATTGCTTGGAAAGAGAAAGAAATTTCCTGTCTTTTTCCTTCCACCCCAGTTCCCAGTGTGTTCATCCATAGCATCTCCTGGATACAGATTTGTCAAAACTCCTGCAGCTTGTGATGTGGCTGTAGCTGCAGAACCCTTTCATTCAGATAACAGTCTCTCCCAGTAATCCCAGGCTGCAGAAAAGATAACAGATGCCCTGCTGCTCACACCTTCCTTCTGCATTTTAGATCTTCCTTCCCAATTAAATAACTTCAGTTCCTGCCTCAGCATGAAATATCCCTTGAAAGTGTTCTATTTTTGGAAGCTTCTGAACAGGGCAAGGCAAATGATGAAAAAATCAGAATGTCATTGCATTGCTACTTTAAAAAAAAACAAACAAAACACCAAACCGAGCAACTGAAGCTCTCAGCCTGCAACATGGGGAGACACCAAATAGTTCTATTTTTACATAGTTTTACTTTGTTAATGATCTTTTCTTCACCATCATTAAGCCTAAAAACTGAATGTACAGTAACACCAGTGTAACTTCAGTGGATCTTAGAGTTGTAGCATAAAGCCAGGAATCACAGAAAAAGTGTAGAAAAAGTACTACTGGTAGAGCTCAAATGCGGGCAACACAAAAGGAAATGCTTGAGAAAAAAGAAAATAAATATTTTTTATTAACCTTAACACTATGTTTTTCTCTGGCTGAGAAAATTTTACTAGAGTAGGAGAAACATGTTAACCACCAAAAAAAAGAAATTCTCCTCTCAAGTGTCAGTGATAACCTGAGCAAAAGACCGATGAAAACTCCAGGAACATCCCCCTTTTTTTAGAGAGCCCTGAAACACACCAAGCACACACGGACATGAAACCTTGCTCTTAGTGGTGTTAAGGAAGAGTGTCTTTTGCAGCCACACGTCTTACCTGTGATCCTGTTGGAAATGCTGAATAACCTCGATGTCCTCTGCCGCTGAACAAAGGACTCGCGATAATACCGATCCCCAAAGCACATCCCAAGTAGTTCCTTGCGCACTGTCTTGTTCCACAGTCCATAAATTAGCGGATGGCAAATGGCACTGGAAAAGGACAACCATGTAGCCAATGTCTCCAAAGCAGGGGAAATACTGTTTTTTCCCCAAAGTGCCTCTGATGTAATTACTACCATGTAAGGCCCCCACGTAATCACGAAAGCCCCAATGACAACCACGATGGTTATGAAAGCTTTGCATTGGTTGGCTGAGTAAACAACCCCTTGGAAAGCGTTCCTTCGGCTGCCAGACGAGGACGTGGAGGTGCTGGAGTTTTTCCTCCCGTTCCTCTGCGAGTCCTCCTCCACGATGACGACGCTACCACAGTGGATTTTGCGGGCCTTAATCCTCGCCACACGGAATATGAATCCATAGCAGATCATCATGACCACAAAAGGCAGCAGCGCGCACCAGATCTGCCAAAAGGCAGTGTAGCCGGCCTCTTTGTGCCAGGCCGCCACACACATCCACTTGAACTGGTCAAACTCTAAAGATGACCAGCCGAAAAGAGGAGGGAGGCAGCCAATAAGGGAATGCAGCCACACGTACACAAGAGCTACCACTGCTCTGTTGCCTGTTATCTTCATTGGGTAAACCATCGGGTACAGGACAGCATAGTACCTGGTGGGCAGGAAAAGTGGTAGTCAACAGAAGCACAAAAGACATAGGACAAAGAAAGGAACATATTTTAATGATGTTGATATCCAGCCCTTTCTTCTTCAAACATCGAAGCGGTCTCAGGGACCTTGTTTGTAAAAACAGTTATGTGTAAAAATATGTATTGTTGCAGTCAAGACTGTCAAACTTGGCTGAAGGCATACATGCAACTGTTAAATCTGTTCCTGTGTGTGAGCGCATGCTTAGGGTAGAATTTTGAGTTTTAAGTCATTATTTCATGTTTCTCAAGTAGTGTGTTATTACACCATCAAGTGCTAAAAAACTTTAGATGCACGTCTGCATTTTGCATTATTGATGACATCGCTTTGTCGTGGTCTAGATCAAAATTTCACAAGGGGCTGAAGAAAAAATGACACTATAACTACGCCATGTTACCCTCTGCATTGCTTCTCAACTCTGTGAACAGCCAACAAGTCCCTCTGTGAGATGACTAGACAATTTGTTACAATTCATTAAAAAAGAGCGGCTTACCGGTCTATAGCTATGAGTCCAAGGGTCAGCATGCTGGCCGAGCTGATCAGCATGTAGAGCAGGGCTGAGAAATTGCACCAAACAACTCCGAAGATCCATTCTCGCCTGATGGAGCTGGTGACAACAAAAGGCAGCACCAGTACAGAGAGCAGAAAGTTGGAAAGGGTCAGGCTGAACACAAACTTGTTGCTCAACGTGAGAAGGTAAGACTTCCGATACAGGGTGACGACAATCACCAGGTTGCCCAAACAGATGAAAATAGCAATGACGATGATAGCAATGGACTCGGTGACTCTGACTGCCCCATCTTCCTGCGTGGTGAGGTTCCTCAGGCCCTTCACGTTGCCAAGGGAGGAATTGCTGCTCATGGTCAGAGCATGCAGAGCTGGAGCAGTCAAGACATGCTGAGCACTTAGAAGCAGAACAACGCTCAGAAACATTCAGGCAGTATTTCTTCAAACTCCTTCCAAAGATTGGAGGCCCTTTTGCCTGTGTTAAAATTTACCTGTAGTACACAGGAAACCATTTTAGACAGGCAAGCGAAGGGGCAGTAAATTGCCTATGGGCACACCAAAGATATCAATGACAGCATCAAGCCTAGAACAAGGAAGAAACTGTCTGAAAAACAAGAAGAAGTGAAGGGGAAACAAGAAAGAAAATTAGTACATTTTACTTTAAAATTTTCTAAGGATATTACTTATTTCTAGGCCATACTTACCAGCTGTCCCTTCATCTAGCCTGTGAAGAAACAAGAACATCACTATCAGTCTTTGTTTCTCTTACTTTAAAGAAAGTCACTTTTTAAAAAAATTCTGCCTGTTTATCCCAATTGTTACCTTGTATTCTGCCTATGGAGTGTTCGCTGGTGGTCTGGGGATGCCTGGCTAGTCATACCCTGCTGACTCCTTCTTAACAGTTGCTAAGTAACATTCAAAGACTTGGGAACCATTGCATGTACTCTCCCAACATCGCTTCTCCATATTCATAATCACCTTAGCTACAGATGTGATTGTATTTTGCTGCCAATACCAAAGGACTGGGGGAACTGGCTTTCTGTACATGAGGTTCGAAAAACACTTCCTTGCCTTAAGCCAAGGTCCATGCTACAGAAATGCTTAAGAACCTTTAATCCTTGACTTCTCAGTCTTAACATCCATCCCACTGACCCAAAACCTCATTTTGTGAAACCTTGTTATTTCTCCCAATTCCTTAGCAGCCTATTCCCCACTGCCTCCAACTGCCATTCACCATTCAATCCTTCACTCATCTGCAAGACAGCATACTGTAAAATAAAACCCAAGCCAAACAACCAAAAAAACCACCACCAAAAAATGCAAATATGCAGACCAGAAAAGTAAAAGAGTCCACTAAACAATATGACATTGATATTAGAATTTCTTGGAAGTTGGGGACTCAGGGAAAGTCATCTCAGCTAATTCTGAGGCAATGCCCAACCACGGGTCCCAGACAGCCAGGAGTACTCACAGAAATGCTTCCATCTGCGTAGCTGCTGTGGCCTCAGGCAGCAGTGTCAGTCTGGAGAGACGCCTTTTTTCCATTTTTATCTGTACTTTCCTAAGAGCGTAATTAAAGACATCACTGGGCCAATACTTTGTAGAAACATAACTTAGCTCCTCTCTAGCTGTTTGCAAAAACGCCTCCTCTCGAGTTTCTCTCTAAGCGTGCCCGCACCACCTCTGCGGGCCTGTCCAATACTTTTGGACCGCTGCGCGTTTTGGGAAGGCGGCTTTTGCCCGCGGCCGCTCCCGGCACTGGCGACGCCCGGGGCACCCGGCGCTCCCCGTCCCCTCACGGCCCCGCTGCTCACCGGGGAGTGAAAGCGGCCTTCGGCAGGGGTGGCCCGCCTGGGGCTGGGCAGGGCAAGGAGCATCCCATCACATCCCGGGGCAAGGGCAGTACCCCATCCCATCCCAACCCCGGGCAGCCTGACCAGGCGTGCCGGCACACAAAAAGCGCGCGGGATCCAGCAGGGGGGCAGTTTCGCCATTTTGCCCCCGCACTCCCTGCGGCAGCGAACAAAGGGCTGGGACAGCGTCCTCCGCCCCGGGCATCCATCGCCTACCCCCCCGCCCCGGCGGCGAGCGGGTCCCGCCGCCGCTCCCGCCGCCTCTACCCCGCGCCCCGGTTCCGCACTCACCGCCCGCCGCCGCCAGAGCGGGACGTTCCTGGTTACGGCACCCGGGACCCCCCAGAGCCGCCGCGGCCCGAGCCTCCCCCACCATGGCCCCGGCCCGTCCCTGCCCCTCCCGCCGTCCCGCCCCGCCGCCTCGTCCCGCCGCGCCCCCTCCCCGACCGCCATGTTCCCCGCGGCCGCCCGCGAGGGGCGAGCGGAGCCTCCGAAACCCAGTAAAAAGTGTGTGTGTGTGGGGTGGATATCCATTTTACACGGATCAGGTGAAGTGAGTTGCCTCGGCACGTAGTACCAGGCAGTCGCAGAGGGGCAGAGCCAAATCGCTACACCTCCAAAACGCTATTAAAAGTAACACCGCGAAGATTTGGGGAGGTGTTCTTCACCCCAACACCACCTGAAGCAAGACACCGGATATAGGTGTCAGTATAAAGTACACGCTCAAATCTTCGTTCGCGAAGCCTAGCCATGATGATGAAAGTACACAGTATAAAGGGTGAATGATAATTAAATGCCGTGCTTGTGCATCACTAATTCCTGGCTTGCTCATATGCTGGTAAAGCCTTTGAGCGCAGCGGACGACTGCTCTGACACAAGCTGTACTATGTTTTGATTGCTCCGGGGAGTTTTTCATGATGTGGACATCAGTTTCCCGTAGCTGTTGTCTCAGCTTGCCCCTGTGCTCCAACAGCAGGAGCGGGCCCATGTGTCTTGCTCCTGTGCCAAGGGAAATTCTTAGGGAGTTAAGTCTGCCCTTTCAATGATGCAGAAAAGCAACACAACCACCTCCCAGTTAGCAATGGAGTAGTAACTTATGTGTCATTTTCAACTCGTTCTACTGATGCTTTTCTACAGGATTTTTTAAGCTGCCATCACATTTCGACATTTTTAAAAGGGCATCTTTGGACAACATTCAAGAACCAATATGTTAAGAACCATACTCAACCCAGCACAGGGGATGCCACAACAGGCAGAAACTGATACCCAGGAAGTTCCACCTGCCAACATAGCAGAGGGCATTGTGTGATGAAGCCTGGTAATGTTTGCTGCACCTTTGAGTGTGGGCAGGGAGATGGCCCAGGGCCATCAGAGGCTTTAGAGCTCTCCAACTCCCACCCAGCCGTCCTGCTGCTCTCGGTGAGGTACCCATGGGGAAGTGGCTGGAGGCACGAACGCCCACGGGGCACACACATGTTCTCCACCAGCTGCCACAGACCGACTCCTCGGAAACGGGGGCACAGGGGAGATCGCTGGCTCCCTTTTTCTGTGGTGGGCAGAGACCAGAGAAAGGTCTGCTCTCCCCATGGTGGCTCCAGGAGCGCAGAGCAGCACGGAGCCCTCCATGTTTGGCAGCACCTCCCACCTGCCCCCCACATGTCACCTCATAGAATGGATCAGGTTGGAATGGACCACCGTGGGTCACCTAGTCCAAACTCCCTGATCAAGCATGGTCATTCCAGAGCACATTGCACAGGATTGTGTCCAGACGGTTATTGAATATCTCCAGTGAGGGAGACTCCACAACCTTTCTGGGCAACCTGTTCCAGCACGTGGTCACTCACACAGTAATGAACTTCTTCCTCATATTCAAGTGGAATTTCCTGTGCATCAGTTTCTACCTGTTGCCTCTTGCCCTATTGCTTGGCACCACCGAGAGCCTGGCTCCATCCTCTTGGAATTAGATATTTACACACATTAATGAGGTCCCTTCTCAGCCGTCTCTTCTCGAGGCTAAACAGACCCAGCTCCGTCAGCCTTTCCTCGTAAGAGAGATGCTCCAGTGCCTTAATCATCTTTGTCACCCTCCTCTGGACCGGCTCCAGGATTTCGATGTCTCTCTTGTTCTGAGGAGCCCAGAGCTGGACACAGCACTTCAGATGTGGCTTCACTAGGGCTGAGGAGAGGTACTGGAGCACCTCCCTCAGCCTGCTAGCAAAGCTCTTCCTAATACATCCCAGGATTCCGCGCCCGAGCTCCGCGCTGCCGGCGCCCCTGGAAGCGGAAGCGTTGTGAGGCGGCTGTTCCGGCGTTGCGGTCGCTGCCGTGAGAGCTGTGCGGTGTGGACAGGGGAGGGGAGGAGAGGAGCTCCGCCGCCCGTTCTGGCCCCTTTTGCCTTCTCCTCGGCGGAGAGGAGGCCGCCATGCACCCGGTTTTCCAGAGCAGCCGGCGCGACTTCACCTTCGGGCCGTGGAAGCTGAGCGCCGCCCGCACACACATCATGAAGTCGGCGCAGGCCGAGAGGTGGGGCGGGCTCGGGCCGGGGGGGGCGGCACAGCACAGCATAGCACGGCATGGCACAGCACAGCATAGCATAGCACGGCACAGTACAGCATAGCACGGCACAGCACAGCACGGTACAGCATAGCACGGCACAGCACAGCATAGCACAGCACGGTACAGCATAGCACGGCACGGCATAGCACGGCACAGCACAGCATAGCACGGCACGGCACGGCACAGCATAGCATAGCACGGCACAGCATAGCACGGCACAGCATAGCATAGCACAGCACAGCATAGCACGGCACAGCACAGCACGGTACAGCATAGCACGGCACAGCACGGCACAGCACAGCATAGCACGGCACAGCACAGCATAGCACGGCACGGCATAGCACAGCACAGGATAGCACGGCACAGCATAGCACAGCACAGCGTCCCCGCTGCTCGGGGACCCCGCGGGGCTGCAGCCTCAGCCCCTCACAGCGAGGGCTTTGGGGCGCCTGGGTGCCTTGTGCAGGAAGCACAGACCCTTCCCAGGGCAGGGGAGATGCTTCTCAGTCCAGTTACTAGGGGGGAAGGGGAGCTCTTCCCTCTTTTTTCGAGACGGGAAGCTTGATTCTTTGGCTGGAGAAACTAGGGTGATTTGGGTTACAGGTGATTTCCAAAATTTGGGTTTAATGATTGCTGAAGGGAGCCTACAAGAAAGACAGAGAGGGGATTTTTACAAGCACATGTAGTGACAGGACAAGGGGGCAGAGATTCAAACTGAAAGAGAACAGGTTTAGATTAGATATTAGGAGGAAGTTCTTTACTGTGAGGATGGCCAGACACTGGAATAGGTTACCCAGAGAAGTTGTGGATGTCTCATCCCTGACAGGTAGAAGGCCAAGCTGGATGGAGCTCTGAGCACCCTGGTCCAGTGGGAGTCCCTGCCTGTGGCAAGGGGGTTGGAACTCCATGATCTTTAAGGTCCGTTCCATTCCAAACCATTCTATGATTCTAGTGGTTTTGGAGATCTGGACCTCTGTGAACCGATGCCTGCTAATTAGAAGCCTGATTTTCTTAATTACTTTTTAATGGTGATTAAGGGCCCTTTAAATGTGGCCCATGGACTCTCTACTCTAGTAGCATGTCTTGGTAATAGCTATATTAAGGTGGTGGTTTTCATTAAAAATTTATAATTTGCTTTCTTCTTGTAGTAATTTCCACTCCTGTCAAACCACTGGAGAAAGTGTTCCTGTGTCAGCATCAAGCACTTAAGTCAGATTTGCTAATGTGGAGCCGAACAGTTCAGCTGTGCCATAACTGACCACAGTGGCAGCTAAATTCACCAGATACTTCTTGTTTTCAGTTTCTGGAATAGTGGAATACAATTTCTTGTTAGTCACGTTAAATGTATGCTCATTCATCTTGCTTTTCCCTTTCCTGAGATTAATAAGGCCTTCTTCAGGAGAAACTGGCTGCCCTTGGCTTGGATGGGTGCACTGTTTTCTGGGTGGAACACTGGCTGGATGGCCAGGCACAGGGAATGGTGGTAAATGGAGTTAATCCAGCGGGTGGCCGGTCACAAGTGGTGTCCCCCAGGGCTCAGTGTTTGGGCCCATCCTGTTTAATGTCTGTCGACAATCCGGATGAGGTGATCAAGTGCACCCTCAGTAAGTTCACAGATGATACCAAGTTGTGTGGGAGTGTTGATCTGCTGAAGGGTAGGAAGGCCTTCAGAGGGGTCTGGACAGACTGGATCGATGGGCTGAGGCCAGTTGTGTGAGGTTCAACAAGTTGAAGTGCCAGATGCTTCACTTGGGTCTCAACAACCCCAGGCATCACTACAGGCTTGGGGAAGAGTGGTTGGAAAGCAGCTCAGCAGAAAAGGCCCTGGGGGTGGTGGTTGACAGCAGCTGAACATGAGCCAGCAGTGTGTGGCCAAGAAGGCAATGGTGTCCTGGCTTGGATCAAAAATACTGTGTCCAGCAGGACCAGGGGAGTGCTTGTCCCTCTGTACTCAGCACTGGTGAGGCTGGACCTCGAGTGCTGTGTCCACTTCTGGGCCCCTCACTGCGAGAAGGACATTGAGGTGCTGGAGTGTGTCCAGAGAAGGACAGTGGAACTTAGGAAGGGTCTGGAGCAGAAGTCCTGTGAGGAGTGGCTGAGGGAGGTGGGGTTGTTTAGCCTGGAGAAAAGGAGGTTCAGGAGTGACCTTATTGCTTTCTACGACTACCTGAAAGGGGGTTGTAACAAATAATAGAACAAGAAGAAACAGCCTCAGGTTGCACCAAGGGAGGTTTAGATTGGATATTAGGAAAAATTTCTTCACAGAAGGTGTTGTCAGGCATTGGAACCTGCTTCCCAGGGAAGTGGCTGAGTCACCATCCCCGGAGGTGTTTAGAAGATGTATAGACATGGCACTCAGGGACGTGGTTTCCTGGTGGACTTGGCAGTGCTGGGCTAACGGTTGGACTTGATGATCTTAGAGGTCTTGTTCAACCTAAACAATTCCATGATTCTAATTTGTTTGATAAAGTCTCATGTCTGGAAATGCTATGCTTGTTTTTTAATTAGCATTATAGTAAACTATGTAAATGTTAATTTTCAAACATAACAACAACATAATACTTTTTTAAAATTTGGCATCCACCTTAAAACAGGTAAAACCTATGTTCCTTCTTCCATCTTTATCTTATACCTAAAATAATCTCAAACTGCTTCTGACTAATGATCCTTTGGGTTTTACAGTTACAGGTAAGAAAACTTGAATCCTGTGATTTAGTAGTTTTTCTGTAATGAGGCTTCAACATCCACATTAGCTGTACCTGTGTCCTGTGGGGGAAGGAGGGCTGTTCTTAGAGCATCTCATTTTTGTGCCGTATTTGAAGACTTATTTTGTAGGATGCTACCTCTTAAAAATATAGATCTTTTTTGGTAAGACTGGGAGGATGTTCATTCTCTTCATTATTTGTGAACAAGTGAGAGACTTAAGCTGCCGGTCTAAGAGCCAAATTGCCTTCTCTACTTATTTTCTGATCTATTCAGTTTCTTTAAATGTACCTATTTTAAATTAGTCACCTCTGTAATTTTCAGAAATTACCTTTATCTGTTTAGATGTTTTTGAGGAATGCACAGTTTTTCAGAACATGTTGAAAAAGACTGAAAAGTAAAGCAGCAAGAGCCAGAACACAGGCTTGAAAGAACACAGAGGATTTTGCAGGGTAGGGAAGTCCAAAAATAGCCATTTACCTGTAGATCTCGGTACCTAGCATGAGATCTGCAAAACAATTCATCCCACTTCAAATTTGAAAAGTCAGAAACCATCTTGTTGCAGTGCTTTTATCAGCTTCCTTTTATAATGTATTTCTCTTGGCATTTTGCCTTTTTTTATTGCTCAGGGAACATCATTAGTATCTGTAGGAGTTTTATTTCTGGCAGATACGTATCACAAAAATGCCTCAGCAGCCTGTGTGAAAAAAGTGAAGAATTAAATGTGCCATAGCCAAGAACTCCTTTCTGTGCTAGAGTTGGTCTTTGCAGGTCAAGGGACCTACACTTGATGAAATGGAAAAGTTCATAATGTTATTCTGCCTTCTCTGGGAAAAATGTAGGATCTTATTCTCCAGGTCTATGAATTTGCTTTTTGTAATTTAGTAAGGTTAGCATATTGGGTTTTTTTATGTAGGGTTACCAAAATAACCACTTTTGTTCAGGAATGCCGTGTTATCAATGTGAACATTGTGATTACGACACTTTTTGTCCTTCCATCCTTCAAATTAATGTATTTTCCTAAAGTTTTCTTCTCTCCAGATGTCATGTATTCCTTTTTGATCTTGATAGGTAAAGTAGGTAGTGGTAGGGAGAAAAAGAAGTATATGAAGCCTTTTAGAAATTAAGGTCAGAGTATATATCAGGTGGTGTGTGGGGGGGTGTATTTATGTATAGCACATGTTTATATGTACATAAGTACAAATAAGTATATAGATTGATGCAAAACAGAACGTGAAATGGTTTGAGATTTTCTGCAGGGATCATGCTTACTTGGTTCATGCAGTACCTTGTTCAGTTGGATCTGTGGCTCTGGCTGTGGCTTTTCTGCTTAAAGTTATAAATACCAGTACCAGTTTTCTACCAGCTTGGAAAAGTGGTAGATCACAGTAGTGTCTTCTGTGCTTTTCACATACTGTGCCAGGGTTCTTTTAAGTGTCTTTTTTGTAGGCTTCTAAATTTGGAGGTATGGACCACTGTGCCTAGTGAGTTCAAACTTGCTGAGGATGAGTGCTCGTTCCCAAAAGTTCTTTTTGAGCACCTGCCAGAGTAGTTCGTGGACCACTCAGGGATTTGCTAGAAGAGGTTAAAAACTCCTTCTACATGCTTCTCAGATATTTTTTGATTCCTCATGTGTGAGACTTTTGTACGAGCCTGATGGAGAAGGAATGTTTTGGAAATACTTCTGCAGTGAAAAAAATCACTTTGGTTCAATGATTCTGCATTTCAGGTCAAATGATTAACCTGGGAAAATACAAAGTCTTGCAGAACATATCAATGATATGCCTTCTAAATTATTATGGTCTAAAGAATACTTATTCCAGAACAGGGACTGCTTTTACTCAACTATAGCTGACTGATGTGTCTTTTATTTTTCTCTGCAGATTGGCCGATGAATTACACATGCCTTCCCTGCCAGAAATGATGTTTGGAGACAATATCCTGAGAATACAGCATGATCATGGTTTTGGAATTGAGTTCAATGCTACAGATGCTTTAAAATGTGTCAATAATTGTCAAGGTATGATCAAAGTCGCTTGTGCAGAGGAGTGGCAAGAGAGCAGGTACAGTATTTTATCACCAGTGGGCAAGTACTGGTGTGTTGCATATGAAACTGTCGTAAAGTAGTTAAAAGAACAGACCAAACTCTTGAAGACCATGTTGCATTTGGTTCTGCCCTAGATACAGCGTGTGATCACAGAAGTCACTTAGCTTTTCTTTGCTGTGATCATCCTGTCTGTTAAATTGGGTCTGCTGTATTTTTTCAGTTGTGTCTTGGCTTTCTTAAAATAAACTTCAAGTTTAACATGGCTCAGTGCTGTTCCTGTTTATTCGAACTCACAGGGCCTCGAGCATTACAAGATTGTGTGGTGTTTCAAAGTGCTGTACATGTTTAAAATATTAGCCTTAGGAATAAAGCAGAACAATTACCATGCATGAGAACTAGTTGTAATGCTTGGTATTTACTAAATTAGTTTTAGAGCATGTGGAAATAAAAAACAAAGAGAAAGCAAAGTTGTCATGAAAACTAAGGCAAATTGCAGTGTCGATGATTGCTGTGTGTCATCAGCACATCACTTTCTGCCTACTTAAAGAAAAAGTGATCTTGAAATACAAATTTTTTAGCAATATTGCACAAAATCTTTATTTTGACTCATAGAACTGAGATAGTGTTAGCACAGGGATTCTCGTAATGGTTTTCTAAATTATTACGGAACCAGATGTTGTGAAACTATGATTAAGTCTTAACATCCTCATTGCAGCACAAATCTTCTGTTTCTGTTGGAGAATAATGTGGGAACCATAGTGCACAGTCGTATGTGGGATTGTAATTTTTTGAGAATTGCTACAAAGCAATTACTACAAACCTGTTTTCTCTTTCGCTTTTTGAGGAGTGAGACTGAGCACACTAAGGAAGTTGTCAAGCCATATGACTGGACTTACACAACAGACTACAAAGGGACATTGCTGGGAGATACTGCAACATTAAAGGTAATGATTTTCTCCATGTCAAATGCTGACCACATATTGCTTCAGTCAAACACTTTTAAAGCTGTCATTTACGTTTCAGTAGGCTTCCGTAAAATCTAAAGCGTGCTTCATAATTTCTGACTGCAAAGTATAGTTTGGGCTTATCCTGTCTCTCAGCATGTTATCCTAAAGAAATCATGGCTTATTTTAATATTGGGAGGGGTGAGGGGAGGGTGGGTGGTGTCTTAAGTAATTTTAGGATTAAAGGACGTGGGAATGTTCAGCACTTGCTGGGTGCCCCTCTGAAGCTCTGAGCTGCTCACACACAGCAGGACTATCAACTGTGTAATTCTGTATTACCTTTGTGCTCTGTTGCTTGCCTGTTTGTTCAAGCAGATATGTAGATCTTGCTGCTTTCAATGATTTTATGTTATTGCAGCAGTAACTCCTCTTATTTAAACTCACAAGTCTTATCTTGAGAATAAGACTAAAGTTACCAGTTTTTCTTTACTGTCTACAGATTTCTTGCTACTAAGTAGAAAATCTATATTGATTCACTAGAATGCTTTGGTTAGAGATCATATGAGTTATTCTGGAATTAAAAATGCAGCATAGAAACAAACCATGTGTTGTTGGCCTGTAGTCTTAAGGCAGCAGAAGTGCATTAGGGTCTATCCACCATGAGGTGTATTAGGTCTTTCCACCATGAGGTGGAAAACGTATAGGTACTTGATTTTCACAGAAAGGCTTTATTAGAAGCCTTTTCAGGGTCTGTAGTGAGAAGAGATAGCAAATGAGTGGAATCCTGTTTATAAATGCAGACTTCTCATTTGTATGTTAAACATGAGGAATCTTCAAATGTTTTGGAAAAAACATTTGAAAGAAAGTGAACAGAATTGTTTGCAGCTGAAAACCTACTGAGCCCGTATCCAGAGGGAAGTTTATTAAGAATTTTTCACTCTTAGCTGTTGCTTTTGCTTGATGTTTGTTTCCAAGAGGATACTCTTGGAAACTTTGGCTTTAATTTTAACTTTGTCTCCTAGAAATCTGGGATGTTTTAAGGTTTGAGCTCTAAAAGCTTTTTCTTTTCTATAACTATGGAATTCAAAAGATCAGGACAACCTTTTTATAGTTTGGCAACAAATTAATGTGCTAACTGTTCGTAATCTTTTTCTTTAGGTTGTTCCTACAACAGAACACATAAATACAGAGAAATTGAAAGCCAGGGAACAAATTATGTTTTTTGAAGAAGTACTTCTGTTTGAAGACGAACTTCATGATCATGGAGTATCAAGTTTGAGTGTCAAAGTAGTGAGTACTTAGAGGCTTATACAAGATTCTTGGTGACTCATTGGCTAATAAATGCAAAATGCAGTCACTTTTTGCATGTTCTTCCTTCTGGGATCTAAACTTAAGAACACAAACTTCTTTATCCTTGCTCTTAGAAATACAATCTTACTGGGAAATATGTTGTTTTGAAATCTTTCTACCGTCTGTCACTTGCTTCAGGGAACAATCCTTTCCCTCTTTCTGCATCCTGCCTAAGAGTCTTTTGAGGCACTGTCTGCCCTATTGTTCAGCCATGGTTGTAGCAAATCAACAGCCCAGATTTTGGCTTTACTACTGAAAGCTCCTCATACTATCTTTCATTGTCAATATCTGATGCAGATAATTGCATACTTAAAGTGTACCTTTGTAATATGCTGAATGGAACATCTTTATTTTTGCAGAGAGTTATGCCTTCCAGCTTTTTTGTGCTGTTGAGGTTTTTCTTGCGAGTTGATGGGGTACTTATCAGGATGAATGATACGAGGCTTCATCATGAGGTAAACCCTGATTTTCCGTCATGACTATTTTACAGAGGTTCCCTTGCTGTGTTACTTTTATGGACCTGCTGATATTCCTCTAATTTAATATTGATGTTTGGGGGCACAGAGGTTGCCTGAACTGAACTTTCATTTGTCTTTTATAATTGTGGTGGGGCTGAACTAGCAACCAAGTGTGGATGCTGTGGAGGGAGGTGTTACATGAGCAGAGTAGGCTCTTTCTCATGTGAAGTAATGACTTAAATACATGTGACAGACACAGGTTAGAGAAGGAAGTACAAGAGGAATCTTAACAGAATGTTAAGATTTAACTGGTTTGGTTATTCTGTCTAACTGTATTTGTACTGGTGAAGTAGTTCAAGGTGAGTAAAGATTAACAAGTGTATTCAGTCCCAGCGTTTTTTTTGAGGCATGCACACAGAAAGGTGATTTCTGGAAAAGAGAACATTGCTGTCAACTTTCTCTGTCTTTGTGAATTTGAACATACATTTCTGCTCCCAGATGAAAATCTGTGGTCAGCCAAATTCAAATGTATACCAAATTCAGTGTATTTAAAATGCTTGGCTTGCACTGATTCAAGATGATAATTTTTTTCCATTAGGCTGACAAGACCTACATGTTGCGAGAATACACATCCAGAGAAAGCAAAATATCAAGTTTAAAGGTATTGCATTTTTTAAACTTACTTTCTTTTTTCTTTCTGTCTGCTTTTTTGTTTTACAGTCAGCATAGAAAATACTGTGTCTGTAAGTCATTCTTTGTTAGGTTTGGAACTGATAGAGAGGAAAAATCTTTCTGCTTATGCAGCATTTGTTTTAGTGATTTCAGGATTTGCATTTGTAAATGCTCAGATCACATGGCAAGAGATGGGATTGGTTTACTTTTTCTACTTGTGAGTTACCAAGATTTTTTATTATTTATTTTTTCATAGAACTCCTCAGGTATAAAATCAGGTATTCCATGTCCCCTGATGCTCAATTTCAGGCCTGGTTGTATGCTTGCAGGTAGTGTTAGAGATTAAAATCTGTTTGGTAATAGACTCATTCAGTTTTTCTCAAGTAAGTTTAATACATGACCTTCAAACTCTAGGAATGGCTCAGGATAGTTTGTGGCATATTTGGAGTTGCAGCTGTTGATTTTTATTCTTGACCCAGCACCTGATCTTTCATATTCTTGTAACTTTCCTTCTCTCTTATTTTTCTTTCACTTGGAAAAAGTGACCAATGCTAACCTTCCAAGGGAATATTTTTGCAAAATGTTTTTTGTCTTGTGAGGAAAGGGGCACTGTATCATTTCTTAACAATATGTGATCCCTATAAACAGGACTAAATCCAGACATGAGCTTTTTGAATGGGTTTGTAATTTTTGAAATATTAATCAGTGATCTAGGTTTTATTTCATCTCATGTTTAAAAATTATCATCTGTGCTGTTAAGTAATTTTTCCTGCTTGTTGTTATAGAGAGGAAATGCATGTGGCTTTTCAGTTCCCTAGATTAGCTTGCATAGGTAAAGCAGAAAAGATTCCTGCTTCACCAAGATTTGAAATAATTAAAACAGTGGTATGGCTCGTTGCATGGCAAGGGTAGCCAAAGTGCAGGTTGCATTTGAATAGCTCTGGGTGCACTTCTTAAAGAATGTTGTTAGAAAGTTTGGAGGTTATTTGTTCAGTATAGCATTATTTTTTTCCATCACGTCTTGTATATGGTGATCTCCAGAGATCTCCAGAGAAAGATACTGATTCACTTAATGAAACCACCTTGTTTGTTAAAATATGGAATTAAAATCCAGTGAGTTTTAGTATTTTACATACATGTCTGTGGTGAACATCATAAAACTAAGATACATGTTAAGATTGATCAATTATCAATAGCTAAATACAAGCAACTCCAGGGAATATATCACAATGGCTAGAAGACATGGACTCCCTTGTGGCCATCCTAGTCTCATCTAGAATAAGAACCTTACAAAGAGTGTTTGTTACATTCCCATTTTAAATATATTTTTAAAAAACATTGTAGCTGTTTATGGATGCCTCTGACTTTCTTGTGCTCTTATAATCTACTGCTTAAAAATGTTAAATCACTTTCCCTGGCTTATTGATCCACATAAGGAGTAAGACTGTATGTCCATTTGAAGTTATAAGATAAATTTTAATAATCATACCTGACTTCAGGTAATTTATAGATTAATTGTCTGTAAAAGTTTGGAGTACTTTTTTTTCCCCTTCCTTTCATTCACTTGTTTCATATAAATTTTTTGCTTTTTAGCACGTTCCACCTTCCCTGTTCACGGAACCTAACGAGATCTCTCAGTATCTACCCATAAAGGAGACAATCTGTGAAAAATTAGAATTCCCAGAGAAGCTGGAGCCTAAACCAGAAGAATCACTGGAAACCATGTGTGTTAAGTCTAATAAATAAATGTGACTTTATATGGACTTGAAGTAGACTGGAGATGATGTGATCACGTATTCGTTGCCATGGGGGGTATTTCACTAATAGTGGAATGAAGAATTTGGCTAATTTTTCTGTAGCCTTAAGAGAAAACATTTCAAGCAGGTTTTGCTAATGGTGTTTTTTGGTTGTTTTTTTTTAACCTGTATCTGGAATTGATGATAAGCTGGTGGTGAGTGATAATTTTCAATGGCACTGGAGAAATGACAATTAAGAGTCTGAGTTCTGTTTAGTTCACCAAGTAGGCAGGAGTATTTTCTGGACCCTCCACCACTAACACTTTTATGAAGATTTTGTTATTGCTGCTTCAGATATTAAGAGATTACTGGCATTGTAAAGTTGGCATGATTTATTTTTATTGAGAAATCATCCACAGTAAAAAGAAAAAGAAAAAAAACTCATCTGCATTTATTTTGATCTAACAGTCCTAAACTACACATTTTGCTTGGCTTCCCCTACTGTGAGCTGATAACCAACTGTTACTCTCTGATCCAGAGTCTCACCTAAGAATATTCATTTCATCTGAGGATAGGTTTAGGGATGGGGGGAAAATGGATTTGTTTGACACTATATAAAGGTAAAATGACTTTCTTTGTAAAGCAGTTAATTCTGATGCCAGACAGATTTCTCTAGACAGTTCTGGAGACTCTCACTTGGGGTCTGGATGCTGCTCCAGTCACATACAATATTGGACATGCATTGTTCTGCATTGACCATTTGTTGGATGCACTGAATGGTGCCCACATGTGATGGTTATACTGCCCTGAAAGTCAAATTGCCAAACTGCAGCATGGGTTGAGGCTGTGGAAGACAGGGGTGTTTAGTCTGTAATCCCTAAAGGATGCTGTATTTGGAGTTTGACAAATGAGATCCTGTATGGCCTTAAAAGGATGCTAACGTGTTCCAGATACATAATTTTGGTTTAATTATAAAATTCTTTAAGTTTTAATATTAATAGCATTGTGATCACTTGTATAGTATGGTTTTAACACTTTGTAGATTAAACTTAAATATTTGTGTTGCTTTTGGAAATCCTACAGTATGTTAATGGTTTGGCCTAAGAATGGGGCAGCTGAGCAGGCTTGTCTTGGTGTACTGCTGGCTCTCAGTGCAAGAAGCAAGTCACTACAGTGAAAAGCAGGCTGTGGTTTAAGGTGATTACTGATTACAGATCAGTATGCATTCTGTTGTCTTGGGGGTTTTGTTTAAAAATGTTCGTATTTTACACTGCATGACTTAATAGAAACAACTCACCTCAAAACCTGGTATTTAAGCAGATCTTCAGAGAAATGGTTTTCATGTAGAGAAGACCTTGAGGTTTTTAGGAAAGAAACCTCAGTCTACTGCCATCTAAGGGACTGTTTTCTTGGTGTCCTGTGTCACTGATTTACTCTAACTACGGGGAAGACACTTCTCTGTGCCTCCGTTCCCTGTATGTAAAAATGAGAGTTAATATTTGCATACCTCACAGAGAGTCTGTGGGGATTAGTTTGTAAAAAGTTATTGATTAGAATTTATATTTTTTTTTCTGAATACACCTTCAGCCTTATCTTTGGAATCCTTTGGAAAGGATTACTGCAAAATATCTTATGATCCATAGGATAAAATGAGTGAAGAGAACTGAAATTAAGCAGTCTCTGAAAGAAATTGTCACCCGGACATGGTCTGTGTGACTGAATTTATGGCCACTTTGAAATAGAGGTGAGATCCTCTATATTCCCTGTTACAGTCCTATATTCTGTTGGTGTTTTTTCATCTTCCAGCATTGTTTCCTAAAGATTTTGATGTCAGGGTAAAGAAGGGGGCTGCAAATGAATGCAGCATGGAAGTGATTAAAAATTCATTTGGTAATAGAAGATGATTTGGGTCTGCTGCAGTGTTAGAGGAGTACGGGGAGAGAGTGAAAAGGAAGGGAACAACAAATGGGGGTGAAGAGGTATTTTTCTAGTAGAAGTAAATCATGGCACTTCTTTTACTCTAAGCATATATTATTTTACATGCCTTAAAGCTTATAAAAACACACTTTAAACCTGGTAATGACTGAGAGCAGAGCTCATGTAGTGCTAGCATGAAGGAAACTATATCTGCATTAATTAATTAAAACTGTGATTCGGGTTTGGTCAGTGATGCTAATGTAAGCTCCATTGGGCTAAAACGTGTTGGGGGGGAAAACCCACAGAGTGGACAGCAAGCACTGAAAGGGGCACTCTGCATGTTTAGCTTATATTGTGTATTTTATCTTGTCCATCATACACTCTAATCTGTGACCTGTTGGTACAGTTTTATTGAATGGGCTTGTATCCTGACTATGTAGATATGTGATATCCATCTATTTTGGGTGCATTTAAGTAGAACCACACGTATCGGGGAAATTACAGGAACATGTTTAGGAAGTTACAGTTACTACAAGTTCAAAATTGGAGCACTTTGTGACTTTCTTATGCCACACAGGTTACCAAGAAGCAGCAGCATAAGCTGGTGTACCGTGAGCCTGCTGGCACAAAATTTCCACAGAAAAGTACCACTTTGAATACATAATTTTAGGGGGAGTGAGCAGGGGGGGATTCTCCAGCTGTTTTGTGGCAAGTCTAATGTGGCAGTTTATATTGTTTCTTGTATGTTGCGAACTAAAACGTACCAAATGTTTTATAGTTTTGTTTTTAACTGAGCAAAATAAACTGAAATAACCACTTGTGATGCTGAATTTTGCCTGCTAGTAAGATGTTGCATCCACGTGCCTTTGGCAGGAGACTGCTCTGGCTAGTTACGAAAATAAAGGTGGAGACTCTTTCAGACCAGGGTAAGAGCCACAGCCGTGGGTGCGAAATGAAGTCTGTATCACTGTTTCTATGAGCTTTGCTCTTGCCAAGTAATGGACGCGAAAAGGATGGGAGGAGATGGGATACAGCCACATCCGGACTACATCCCCCGTCAGCCCGCGCGCCGCCCCGGCGGCCTTCCCGTACCTGGGAGCGCAGGTGGGCGCGGTGCCTGCCGGAGCTGGTAGTCCCTGGGGAGGGGAAGGGAGAGGAAGGGAAGGGCAGCCGGGCTGGCCGGGCGGGGAGCGGAGCCATGGACAAGCTGAAGCGAGTGCTGAGCGGGCGCGACGCGGAGGAGCCGAGCGGCCTGGCCGAGGTACCGCCGGGGGTCTGAGGGGGCACCCAGACAACCCCTCCCCGGTTTGTTTGGAGAGCTGGCGGAACAGCCCCAGCGGAAAAGTTGCCGGTGCCGGCGATCGCGGCGTGGGCGGGAAGGCGGTCGGTCCCCCCTTCCCCCTCCTCCGCCCCCTCAGCCCTGCGGGGACCCCCCCGGGTCCCCAGCGCGGGTGGCGGTCCCGCCGCATCCCCCGCGCCTCCCGCGGGCCGCGGGAGAGGGTGCCGGAATGGGACATAGCTCAGCGTCCGAGAGGAAGTTTGCACACTTGATAGGAGGCAAGGTCTACCAGTAAATAAGTTTCGCTTTTATTTTTCTCCTCGTTTCCAGGTTATTGATTCAACTTCTTTAGGCTGGGGCACCCGAGTGAAAGGCTTCGTTGCGTGTTTTGCAATAGGATGTCTGTGCTCGATCTTGGTAAGGACTTTTTGCCAGATCTCCCCAGTATTTGAGTTTCAGGAGCCCAGGTGATTGCAGCCTTGCTCTGTGCCCTTGCTTGATTTTTCTGAGTCTCTGAGAAGACGTCTGAGTCGGTTCCAGTTAGATACACTAAGTCTTAACAAAAATGCTAATAAATGCGGTTTACTTTTGTATGTGTGATTCTGCCATTTAGGTTTAAGGTTGGGGTTTTTTTTTCTTTTGTGATGTGATATTTCTGGGATATATTTCTTTTTCAATTTCAAAGCTATTAATTTCCACCCCCCGTCTCTCTAATGTTCCTTTTTAGGGTAGTTGTCTGCTATGGATACCAAAGAAAGGGCTGATTCTCTTTGCAGTGTTTTATACTCTGGGGAATATTGCGTCTATTGGGAGGTAACAATCTTTATAATTTAGTTCCATAATAAAGATGAGAAACAAAAGCAGAATGATAGTGCATAAGTGTAAATAAGTGGCAAAAGCTGTTGTATTTGCCTGAGATTTGCTTTTGTAGATAATTTTCTTGTTGAATTTAAAAGAACACAATTTTCCCAGTGGTGCCCTGAAACAGTAAAGGAAATTTTAATTTTATTTATTGTTATTAGTAATGTATTCAAGGTAGAAGTTACTCATCAGTAAAGAAGAATCAAACTTACACTTAGAGCATTGAGGTTTTTGGATTTTGTTGGTTCCTCCTTCCCAAGTTAAAAATAATTCTCCATTTTGCATTTGGTAATGTTCTGTGTGTTTTGGTAAATATATTTGGGGCAGTCTTGTCTGTCAGGGTAGGCATAGTTGTTAGGACTTCAAGGTTCCTGAAGCATAGCCCCACAGATTTGTGACAGACACAACCTTCTGTGATTGAGGAAACTTAGCATGATGTTAGAAAGTGTAAATAATGAAATTGGAAGTAATATACTGATGAGGCAGAATAACATAGTATATGAGACAGGAATATCACTTGAGATAAAACTTTCTCGTTGTATAATTCATGCTGTATCCATCACCAGGGCCCTAAATGAGGGCTGCAGTTCTGGTAAGGGATCAGAGAACGGATCCAGGCCTGAAAACAGTCCTTTATATAGGGGAATTGAGCTGGATTACCTGGCAATCCATGCAGAACCTCTGTGGATGGCATTCTTGAAAAGCAGATTTAAAAAGCATTTTTGAAAAGTGGGTTAAAAATGGCATCTGTCAAGAATGATCTAACTGGAGCTGACCTTGACCTGCGCTACTAACTTGACAGTTCTGCTCTGCTTATGTTGATTTTAACTGAACGAGTGTGAATAAAATTTGAAATACTCTGCAGAAAAAAAAAGCAGGAATGGATTTTGTCTTGTATGTTCCGTAATGTAATTATGTCCTGCATGACAACAGACAGTTTATTCTTACCTAGTTTCACTTTTGCCTTTCTTACCTCTGTGTTCATCCTGGTTTATTTTTCACAGCACTCTTTTTCTTATGGGACCAATGAAGCAATTAAAAAGGATGTTTGAGCCAACACGTTTGATTGCTACTATTGTTATGCTAGTAAGTATCAAAGGAGTCAGTTTTAACTCATGAAAACTTGTGAACAATTTTCATTTTAAAGTCTTTTCATATACATTGATCTAACTGTGTCTCAGGATGTGTTTGTGGGTGGTGTTTTCTTTTATTTTTTTTTTCTTTTCTTAAAGCATCAAACACCCTGCAAATCGGCTATAGTGGAAAGGTGAGTGTAGCACCAGAAAACCACTGAAAAGACTGAGATGAAGCCAGATTGTTGTGCTAAATGGGCATTAAGGATCTGTGGCTGGTGTGTGTGTACCATGCATGTGCTTTTTTAGGGTGCTTGAAGTCACAGTATCATATTTACACATTTCCTAAAAAACGAAAGATGGCAAACTAGTCCTATGGACGTCGTTAGATATTTTATTTTTCATTATTTTGTCTTTTTATATTCTATCTGATTTGCTTTAAAGAGCCATATAGGTATTTCTACCTTGATAGAATCATCTATTGCAGACAAAGCAACTGAGGGAACTCTATGCTGTGGTCACTTGCATTAAAAATGCAGGCATCATCCCAGCTGGCTGATAACTTCAGGTTTTGAAACTTGTATGACAGAATGAAATTACAAATTCAATGTTTAGCTGAAGTCAGCCCTTAGAATTATTTTTATTTTCAGAAGATGGAAATTGTACCAAACCTACTGTGTGTGTGTCTATGCCTGGAAGTTGCTGCTAAGTTAAAAGTGAATGTTTTTTTGTCTCTGCAACTTTCCCATTTTCTCTTGGTGAGTCTAAAGTCTGGAAGGTGGTATAACTTGCATGAGACTATCCTCCTGTTTTCAGTCTGAATGTCTTCAGAGTGTTTGCTTGGCATCAGCACTTCCTAATTTCTCTTTAAACATCCTGAAATGCTGCAGAGCTTGAGAAATTGTGCATGCTTGCAGATCCAAGCAAGAAGCTTACTGCGTGGTGTATGTGTTTTGTATGCATTTAGGATGCCTGAAGTCAAGAGAATGCCTGGAATGTTGTTCACTGGAATAAAGCCAGTTGTTAGATGTGTGATGCAGTATTTAGACCAATATACAAATCACCACCTTAAAACTAATGGAAAAATTACATTTAAAGTCAGTTATCATGGTTGAGGTGAAGTGTATGATTTCTTTAAAAATGCATGTGTTACTGTCTTGAATATGCAGTACTATATCTTTTTTTTTCCCACTCAAGCAGAAAAATGCACATTATAATCTCTAGTACCACGGTGGTACACGTGTATCTAAGCCTGTTACATATTGATGAAGGAAGAGGAATTATCAGCATCTGCCACAGCTAAATGAGCTGTTGTGTCTTAAATTGGAAACAAAAACTTTAACTAATAGGAGGCTTCCATTTAAACTGTGGGTTTAAGCAGAAAATAATGTGAAGTTGCCTAATACCACCCCCCCCAAGATTTTAACTGTAGTAAAGAAAGACACAGTGCAACTCTGAAAAAAGAAAAAGCACTGGTTTGAATAAATGTGCTGGACTTCCTATATATAGTCAGGTGAGCTACTAAGCAATAGCCCAAAGTTCTTGAAAGTGTATCATAGTTTTAGTTGGTAAACATTAAGTAATGACTCAACTTCAACCCCATGGTAACCATGTAATCATCAGGAAATGTGGCACGTGCAGAGGCAGAAAGACTTTTCAGGTACAACTCTAGTCTTACTCATGCAAAATGATGAAGTGTGGTGTGTGCCTACGACACCAAGAAGTGTGTGGGATGAAGTAGGGACCCACTGATGTTCCTTTGCAGCCACAAAATTATTTTCTGGAGATATTTTGTAATTGCTTTAATTCACTTCAGAAATGTAATAGCAAGATCATTTTAAATACAGGGAACTCTTATGCAGGATTGGATAAAACTATGAAATTA